CCCCCTTCCTCGCCCGGAGCCCCGCTCCACCCTGCTCCTCCACCTGTCGGTGGGCGGTTTCCGAGGAGCCTCGGCCTCCGCAGGTGAGTGGTCGCTGGCCTGGTGCTGGAGGGATCCCCGAACCCCATGTCGGGGTCGGTGAGGGACGTAGGGGCCTGCGGTGCGAGACCGCTGCGCATCCTGCCGTGAACCTGCCCGTGCGTGCGCGGAGGTCTTAGGTCCTGGCTGTTGTCGTTGACACCTGTGGCTTAGGTGACGGTCCCCTTACCTGAGGAATCCTGCCCAGCCGGGCCTTGAGGGGAACGCTGTGGTTCCCGTCTCTAGACCTGTGTCATTAGAGAAGGTTCTGGCCAAGAAAACACGTGTTTATTCTCTTTTGACGGCCCTCTCCCGAATCCGTCCACCCTCCCGCCCCAGAAACCCTCACCCCGGAAAAACAACGAATAGGTAAGGTGTGATAGTGTTGAGGATGTTATTTCTTATTTCGTTTATTCCGGAGCCCTGGAAGTTCATGGCCCTTTTTGTTTAGAGTTGGTATCTTTTAGAAAATTTATCCCTCAAAACATTTCTTTCATATAGTATATTATACGGTGACGAAGTTAGAGATAAGCATGGATCCCTAAGTGCCTTACAGGGGATCATCTCAAACCCTTATGTAAGCTATAGTAATTTTCTCTTTTAACCGCGAAGTGCCACTTTTATATCCGTTACTAACTTCCAAAAGCACAGTGTTGCACCCTTTTCTCTTGAAGGCACTTATTTGTGTCTTCCTCCTTGAAATCAGGCCTTTAGTCACTGCTGAAATCATTCCTAAATGTTTTAGAATGTGTGCGATAGATCTCTGCCACATAGTAACAATGATAGAACACTAAGGTGTCAAGGAAGATTCTTGCAGTGTTCATACAGGCCTAATGTGTCAATGTGCAGCCCTGTTTTCCTTTATGGCCTGTATTATGCCTTTGAAAAAAGACAGTGTCCTTCAACTTTACAACAGCCCTAGACTATGAAAAGCTACATAAAGTTCCCTTATGGCATTAGTTATTCAAGAAACGTTTACCTTTTATATAGAGTCAGTACTAGACAAGCTATCCAGTCTGCAATGGATTCTACATCTTATTGTGAAACTGGTATCACAATTCTGACAGATACCCAGGATTAGAGAATCTTATAGAATTTACTGTATTAACATTGTTGACTTTCTGTTTACAACAATGTTTTGTTTTCTTTCCTTAGCTACTTGACTGGTTAAAAAGATAATGTATCAGATCAAAATGGTCAGTGATGATAATATGCTAAATAGATATTGCTTGTGTTTATTGATATATGGCCTTTAACTTATATTGAAATTGTTATGTTCACTGATTTATTTTTGCACTGTTTAGGGTAAATGTAAAGAAAACTTACTAAATACATATCCATATATGTTGTGGTTTTCTGAGCAGGTTGTTTTTTGGTGTTCTTTCTTGGTCTTCTTGAGAATTTATCATATGATTATAAGAGTAAGAAAAATGGATGCCATGCTATAATTGGTCATGGGTTGCTCATTTATTGTTTATTCATAATCATCAGTGACTGACTGTACATTAACATTATTTATGGTTGCTGTCATATCCTAGATATGTACATTCTGAAAATTGCTTAACATTGTATTGTCACTTTTGAAGTTACACACAGTTGCCTTACTGAAATGCCTTAGGAAAATGCATGATTGAGCTTCATCTGTTTTTATTTTAGGACATCAGTTTTGCAGTTTTGCAGATATTTTTAACATTGATGCTGATTGATTTTTTAGCCTGTGCTAAATAATCTGTACATGTTTCCTGCTATTAAGCAAAGAAAAATACACCTAGAATAAATAAAATATCCCTTTCAGGAAACTACAAGGATCTCAAGGTTTCATTCCATCTTATTTTTGTCTTCAGTGAAATTCCTCACAACTCAGTAGGTGCTCTGTAAATATTTCTTGAATAAATGACCTATGTAATTATGGTAAAAACTGCAATATAAATGGAACTCTCTCTAAGATTTCTTTAAAAATTAAGTGGGTAAGGTATCCTTTTTAGATGTGAAATAGGGAAGGCCCTTTATTTGTTTTTTGGAAGAGAAGAGGAACCTTAGGATTCAAATATTTTGATCTGTTGCGTGTGTTTTTTTCAGTGTCTTTGGTCACTCCTTTTCCCTAATCCTAGGGGAGAAAAAGACACTTGAAGTCTCTGTAGAGATACCACACCACATGACATATTAAGTTTGCTAGAAATTTTGCAGTAATATTGAGTTTTTAGTGTTTAATTTTTAAAAATTTGTTACTTAAAATTTCATGCTGCATCTTACTTAGTTTTAAAAAATAATGAATTTAGTCATTAGCTAAATCATAAATATTCAAGCCATGTAAGCAAAAGTGTGGTTCTAATAGAATTACGTGAAGGGAAAGTTTTCTGTGAGACCAAGCAGGCATCACCACTTAAGGCTATTGTTCTCTTTAATAACCTGTGTAAATCAAGAGCCTAAATCTTTGGACAGTGTCACTTTTATAAATGTTTTGTTAATTGAACCAGTTGGTAGTGTTTACAGTTCATGGTGGTTAAAATTTGGTCTATAGGCTTTTCTTGAAATATATTCATTTCTTTACATATTGCCAGATACTGTGCTGGGTAGACCTAGTTCCGTCCTGCAGTGTAATTTTAGCAATGATAAGGCTATATTCTTGAAAGCTGGAGAATTGCACAAGTTTACAGTGCTGACATTCATTTAAGAAGAACCATGTCTTTGGCTTAGAGACTACTAAAGGAATGGGAAAAATTATTTTTGTCTAACATTTAATCAACTAAGGGTATTTTGATAATATTTTCAGTAAACATGTTGTTTCTTTGATAACTAAGAATTGTTCATGTCATTTGTTAATGTGGCCTTGGATTGACTTTACATTTTTGTTTGTTAGAAAGAACCAATTCATTGGCTCCTAAGGAATTTTATCTGACTAGAAAGAAGTATTCATAACACAGAGTGCCTTCAAAGAAGGCCTGGAATGACTTTGGTGCCTTAATTTAGGCTATTGAATCCTGGCCCTCAAAAAAAAAAAAAAAATGAAGACCGCTCATATATAAGTAACAATTTAGATTTTTTTTTTTTAAAAGTGGGAAAAGGGGAAGAAAGATCAGGAGGAAGTCTAGGGATAGAGAGGAAGAGAGAAAAGACACGAGATGCCTGGTATCCAGGCTTATCCACATCTACTGTATGCCATCCAGCTGGCCCCAGCTGCCCTCTTCTAACACTTGCCCAGACTAGGTGTCACTGTAGGGCATGTAGTTTCAGGACAGAGGCAGTCCCAGCTCTGGGGTGAGTTGAGGATCAAGGAATGTGAGTGCTGAGAGTAAGGAACCGGACAAAGGCAAGAAATCTTAATAGTTAAGACAAAAACTTGGCACTGTTCAGTCATTTAAAGATTGAGTATCCGCTGTGTGCCAAGCAGTGTTCTGGGTGCTATAGATATATTAGTAAGTAACAGAGAGCCATGTCCCTGGTCATGGAGGTTTTATTAAGATAGAATATTACAAAAGTGACTCCAGAGAGTTTTTATTTAGATCATGGGTTTTTTTTCTTTTTCTTTTGGATCTCAGATGCCCAGTCTTGTTAGTTTCTGGAGGGAGCCCTAGAAAGTATACTTTTAAAAAACTCTTTGTAATACTTATTTTTAGGAGACAAATAATATGAAATGTTTCTTTCTTTTTCTTAGCTTACAATTGAACATGAGTCTTCTTATGATCAGTGAGAATGTAAAATTGGCTCGTGAATATGCATTGCTGGGAAACTATGACTCCGCAATGGTCTATTATCAGGGAGTTCTTGACCAAATGAACAAATATCTGTACTCAGTCAAAGATACGTACCTCCAGCAGAAGTGGCAACAGGTGAGAAACACGATCTGCGTACTTTTTAAATAGTTTAAGTACTCAGGAAATTTCAATAGATTATCAGTGCTTTTTGCAGTAACACATTGAGTGTATCATTTATTACATGGATTTGATTTTAGTGTTACTTAAAACTTGATTTATTATATTAGTATTAGTCTGTATTTACCATCATCAGTATTATAAGTTCTTTTTAATTATTCTAACGGTTGAGTTTCAACCTATGAACCAGGAGATCGCGGTTCAGTTCCAGTCAGGGCACATGCCCAGGTTGTGGGCTTGATCCCCAGTCAGGGGCATGCAGGAGGCAGCCGATCAATTACTCTCATCGTCGATGTTTCTATCTCTCTCTCCCTCCCTCCCTCTTCCTTCGTCTCTCTGAAATCAATAAAAACATATTTAAAAATAAATAAATAAATAAAGTGATGGTTTTCAAATTTTTTTCTAGATCACATTTTTATCTTGTAAAATTAGAGTTGACATTATTAAGCCATTTTCAAAACTGCAGATGACACCTGAGTCTCATAGGTACCATATTTTCTATAGTACATTATAAAGCAGACCATATTTGAATTCCATTTGGGGAACTTTAGTGACTGAAGACCAATAGAAATTTATAGGTGGAAACTGTAGAACTTAAAGGTCCTGTTGAAGGTGGCATTTATAACAAGATTCAGCTATGTCACAGAGGAAAGAAATGTTACAGAAATTATCTTTTTGAACTGGTCTAGGTAGAATATTATCCCTCAGATTCTACTGAACTGCTTTTTGGATAGTATTTTATATTTGTCCTTAATTTTAAGAGAGAAAAATACTACCTTTTTTAATGTAACCTCTTTTCCTAAATCTGCCTCTGCATATCCCTGACATTACCAGAAGGAGAAAATATTTCATTTCATAAGGAATCTTGTTTGTCACTGAAAGACTTTTAAGACCTTTTGTTCTTAGGCCAGAGACTTTTACTTTAAAAGTCTAAGCTTTTATTAAAGATACTTAAGTTATTTAGTTTTAAGATAAAACATTACCAACTTCATTTCAACATTCCATACACACACACACACACACACACACACATACATATACAAAATATATATAGATATATTTTTTGAGTCAAGATAGCTTTTAAAAATATCTTGGTTGTATGTGAATTGAGGCATTTATCTTCTGAAGCCATATTTTTCAAACTAGTGAGTTATGAAATTAGTGGATTCTAATCAGCCTTTAAAGAGTCAAATACGCCCGGCCCGGCGTGGCTCAGCGGTTGAGCATCAACCTAGGATACAGGAGATCGCAGTTCAGTTCCTGGTCAGGGCACATGCCCGGGTTGTGGGCTCCATCCCCAGTCGGAGGCGTGCAGGAGGCAGCCGATCAATGACTCTCTCATCATTAATGTTTCTATCTCTCTCTCCCTCTCCCTCCCTCTCTCTGAAATCAGTAAAGATATATTTAAAAAAAAAGAAAAGTAAATAAATAAATAAATAAAAGGTCAAATAGCATAAAAACCCATCAAAGTGCAACTTACCAAAAGTATTATTTTTATCAAACTTAAACTTACAGCTAACTTTTTGATTTCTTATGCAGTTTGAATGAGAACCACAAGTCAGTAACATGGCTTAATTAGCCAGAATATTTAATTCCTTTTATCAGAATTAATTTTGCAATTGAAAGCAAAGAATTAATGAACCATTATTAAAATTTCAAGAGTATCTTGGTGTGACTTACTGGGTATCTGATGTCAGAATGGAGGTTTCTTTTTTTAAAAATTGATATTTAGAGAGAGGAAGGGCAGGAAAGAGAGAGAAACAGAAACATGGATATGAGACAGAAACATGGATTGGCCACCTCTGCATGCGCCCCTACCAGGTGTTGAACCTGCAACCTGGGTATGTGCCCCTGACAGGGAATTGAACCCACTACCTTCTGGTGTGCTGAACGATGCTCCAGCTAGCTGAGCCACACCAGCCAGGGCAAAATGGAGGTTTCTGACATCTTTAATACATTGCCCTAGTTTAATTTTAGCAGTGACTTAGTGGTTATAAAAAATTAAAGAGCTGTATTCTCGTTTGAAACCAGGTGTGGCAGGAAATAAATGTGGAAGCTAAACATGTTAAGGATATCATGAAAACATTAGAGAGCTTTAAATTAGACAGCACTCCATTGAAAGCTGCACAGCATGAGCTTCCAGCTTCTGAGGGAGAAGTGTGGTCCTTGCCTGTACCTGTTGAACGAAGGTAAGTGGAGACCTGTTAAGAAACATGCCTTTTGGGGGGAAAAAAGTTATTCACTCCTATCTTGTGTTCAGTTATTGCCTTGGCTTCTTTAGTTCATAGACTGTTATACACTATTTGTGTTCATCTATATTTGGACCAACTCCAGGGGTTGATTATGATTTTAATGATGTCGTGTTTGATTAGACCCTCACCAGGTCCTAGAAAACGCCAATCTTCTCAAAACAGTGACCCTAAACCACACAGTAACCGTCCAAGTACAACTGTCAGAGTTCACCGTCCATCTGCACACAATCTTCACAATGACAGGGGAAAAGCTGTTCGTTGTCGGGAAAAGAAAGAACAGAATAAAGGAAGAGAGGAAAAGGTAAATGGTACTGGTTTTCATAAATGAAGAAGTTATTTATTAACTTTAAAAATGAAGACCATACATATTTTGATAATTTTTAGTCATTAAAAGTGCCAGACTGTGGCAGCTCTCTCCTTGGGCCCGGAAGTCGCTAGAGTGGCTCACAGAACTCAGGAAAACAGTTTATGTACTAGATTACTGGTATATTACAAAGGATACAGCTCAGAAACAGCCAGATTTTTAACTCTTTTAATTGAGACAGTGGATTTGGATTTTGTGTATATAATTTTGCTGGCTTTTAAAATAACTAGTTTTAAACCCAGGGACTTACGTCCTGATTAATTGTCCATGTTCGACTTCATTTTGCGCATCAAAAAGAAGTCTAAATTTTTTTAACCTCTCTGCTGCTTTCTTTTACCTCCTGGTAGCTGTTAGTATTTTTACTTAGAGCAAGTTATTGCATTAAAGGAAATTGTACTAGTTCAGCTAATTCCATACTAAAAATGTCAACATTTGAAGTTCCATAACTTCTCTTTTCCTGACCTGTTATAGAATCTTTTCTCCTTTCTGCCTCACTTAAATTTGTTTTTCTTTGTCTGCAGACATTCCCTCAACCCTGTGTTCTGTGGGGGAAAGGAAAGCGAGAACTAGAAAGTGCCTTCCATGTGTGTCTTCCTGGGCTTACAGTGTACATTTCCATAGCCAGGGACAGTGTCTTCTTTCTACCCCACAGCTGCTAGCACAGAACAGATTCTTCATAGATATCTCTGAATGAATAACAACTTCATAAATACTTAGAGGAAAAGATAACCTCCTCTTTAAATGTTAAACAATGCCTTCCTTGTATCTTTTATGTTAGTCTTGGATACTGAGTAGTCTATAAATTGTGAGACAGATGCTTGTTTGCTCATCCAGTGTAAGACTTTGAATATCATAAATATTGGTTAAGTCTAGACATTAATACTGACTGTAGACAGCACTGTTGACAGATCATCACATTATGGGCAAAAAAAATGTTACGTAGATGGAACAGTGATCCTAGTGAAAGATCGAGTAAGTGATTATTTACACTAATGCAGAGTTTCATAGATTTCCATAGCTCATAAACTTTGTGTCTCAGTAATTTTTTCACAGCACTTCTAGGAAAAGAATTCTTACTCATTTATGAAGAAGTTAGGTACAGAGAACTTTGTGTATGTCCTATCAACACCTATTGGACACTGTAGCGCTTCTCACACCCTGGAGTCAGAGTGGACACGCTACTTGTGTTCCTCTTCGACATTATAGCTTTCATCACAGCAACGGCCAAAAACCTAGCTTTCCAAAACATGGCATTTCTGAAAGGAATGTAGTAGTGTTTATGTAGAAACTGAACTGCTTTGAGCTGGTAGTTCATCCATTGTTCAGCAGATGTTGCCGTGCTTTCCTCAAAACTTTTAAATATCAAATGGGGACATCTGTAATACTGTCAACAAGTTTTAAACTTTTTAAAAATATTTCTCAGTGCCCTATGAGTTTGCCATCGTGCCCTGGAATACTTTAGTATATATTTGGGATCTGTGTGCCTGATGACTTCATCACAGGACGGGAGGGAATCTCACCTAAGGACTGAGATGCCTCTTGGAGGCAGGTGGGAACAGTGAGAAGGGATGTTTTAGGAGCATTGATAAGGACTGAGTACGTGGTTAAAGGTTGAGCCAGAGTCTTAGCTGAATAATCCATCTGTCTTTAACCTTATCATCAGTTCATGTGCATAGTATTTTTATTTTTAACACCGTTGCCATACTTTTTATATAAAAATAATAATTGAGTATGAAATTCTGATGTAAATGTAAAAGGATAACTTCTAGTCTTTGATTCTGCCCTTATTACTTGTACTATTATACTAGCTTTTGAAAAAATATCACTTGAGTCCAGTCTTTGTTTCTGACTCACAGAAACAAAATATCATTTTTATTATTTTTTTTAAATTTAATTTAATTTTATTTCATTTTAATATATCTTTATTGATTTCAGAGAGAGGAAAGGAGAGGGAGAGAGAGGGAAGCATCAATGATGAGAGAGTCATTGATCGAGCCCACAACCCGGGCATGTGCCCTGACTGGGAATCGAACCCTGATCGCCTGGATCCTAGGTCGAAGCTCAACTGCTGAGCTGTGCCTGGTTGGGCCAAAATATAATTTTTGAGTCAATCAAAAACACTTATTTTTTTTTTCCTCTTGATGTAGAACAAATCACCTGGCGCAGTTCCAGAACCAGAGACCAATAAATTTGATAGCACTGGGTATGATAAAGACTTAGTAGAAGCTTTGGAAAGAGATATAATTTCTCAGAATCCCAACGTTCGATGGTAAGTTAAAATAATTGGGTTCTGTGGATGCTTTTTGGGATAGAAAATGGAGCAGGTGTGGGCATGCACTGAAGATCAGTCCTCAGGGATAGAACCAGAGTCCGTACCATGGGAGTGTGACGTATAATGAAAAACTCCACTTCAGGCTGTACCAGTGTTTTGTCTGAGACTTTTTAATTTAATAAAATAAATAATAAATTAATTTTTTATTAAATAAAAAATCTTAATACAAAATGGGAATAAGATCCCAGAAATGTCATCTTCTTTTGGGACATCCTCTAGTGGTGAAATGGCAGTGATGCTTTTGCATGCGCATTGCTTGTTACCTGTATGCTTGTCTAGTACATGCTGTTTTTATTTCCTATTATTTAGAGCAGTGGTTTTCAACTTTATTAATATTATGTCTAATCAAAGAACTGTAATTTATCACAGTGAGTTACAAAAGCTCCCTTTTCCATGAAGTTAAATACGTTCTGTTATATATATTGTTAAAACCTGATTATATTATTTTTAGGTATGGTTTTGGGGATATTTTAAAAATATTTTTGGCATTTGCTATTTATGCAGTGACCATCTATTTTCATTAAAATTACCATGTGTGCGATAGTGGTGGTGGTAGTAATCTTGTGCTTGGAGATGGCTTCATAGCAGTCTCTCTGATACCCTTTAACCTTGGTGTCTGCCTCTTGCAGGGTTGAGGTGAAGCAGCAGCTTTGCAGCCTGTCTCTGCTTTATGCCCTTTTTATTCTTTATGGGTTTGTCAGTGGGCTTATTGTTTCTAAATCATGGAGTTTATGGAATGAGCGTCATTGATGAGAGCAGGAATTTAAAATAATACTCGAGTGGGCCTGTAGACCTGTGTTCTCATTTGCCAAGCTGAGAATCATCACTGACAAAAACGGAAAGTACAGATTGTGCTCTTTCTAGGTATTGGTTGTCTGGCTGCATCGCAGTATCTTCGTTCACTGGTGCCAAGAGAGAGGCTTGACATTCTGTCAGCAATGTCAAATCACGTGCTTCCAGTGGTTTTCTAAGAGGTAGTTGATAAAATATCTTTTTTTTTAGGGATGATATTGCTGATTTGGTAGAAGCTAAAAAGTTGCTTAAGGAAGCTGTGGTGTTACCAATGTGGATGCCAGAATTCTTTAAGGGCATCAGGAGACCATGGAAAGTAAGTTTATTACTGTTATGGCATTGTCAAAGTGGTGGCCAGTACATTGCTATAAAAGCCAATATTTATCTGTATTAGGTGAAGTGAGGGGAGATAGTAGTAGAGTAGGTAAAGAAAATTTAAATTAAAAACTGTATGTTGTGTTATTCAGAATTTTGAGTAGACCAAAAGCTATTTCAAGGTTCCCAGAATAATAAATAAGTACAGTATGATCGTGGAAAGTTAGACACGTAGCAGATTTAGAATGAGCTTGTATTCGCAAATGTGAACAAGTTGCCCAATGCAAAAACACTCCATTTTATGTGTCATGTTGCAAACTTGGATCCTGTTCTTAAGAAATTAAAACTTACTTGCATCTAATGCAGATATTTTTCTTAAGAAATGAGACATATCTATAATGAGGACTTTTTTCTTTTTTTTAAATATATCTTTATTGATTTCAGAGAGAGGAAGGGAGAGGGAGAGATAGAAACACCAATGGTGAGAGAGTCTTCATTGATCGGCTGCCTCCTGCATGCCCCCGACGGGATTGAGCCCACAACCTGGGCATGTGCCCTGACTGGGAATTGAACCACGATCTCCTGGATCCTAGGTTGATGCTCAACCGCTGAGCCACGCCCAGCTGGGCTAATGAGAGCTTTTTAAAGTTATGGGTCGATCTGAAAAGAGACTGTCAAAAAAACTTTCTTGGATTTGGAAAATGTGCTAATAGTTAAGCACTTATTAATTTTAAGTCTTTAAGGGATAGGCAAAATACAAAATTATAGACATTCTTTGAGTACAGATATGTAAAAAACAAAACTAATTTATTTGAGCAAAAAGACAGCAGAAAATATATCCAGATACTAACAATATCTGTGTTAGGGTATGATATTGTAATATCCGTATTATAATATTGATTATATTTTTTCTCATTGCTGAGTTACAGATTTTTAATAATGTTATACTTTTGTAATGGATAAGGTAAATTTATGATAAAGTATACTTCTGTTTACCTTTCTATTTGTCTTTTGTCTTAATATTATATGTAAGTTGGTTGAAAAGGGATCCTTAGTAAGGGAATTCTTGTGATTTAGACAATGGCAGATAAATCCTTCATTTATGCTGTTATATTCCCAACAGGGAGTGTTGATGGTTGGCCCACCTGGCACGGGAAAGACCCTCCTTGCTAAAGCAGTAGCTACAGAATGCAAGACAACATTCTTCAATGTCTCTTCGTCAACGCTCACTTCTAAATACAGAGGAGAGTCTGAGAAGCTTGTTCGTCTTCTGTTCGAAATGGTGAGTGTTTGAGATAGCTCTGATTCTTTGCCCTCTAAAAGGGGAGAAAGTGAGTTGTAACTGTCTCCAGTGTGTAGACTAGCTATGCAGAAGGGAGTCGTGCCCAGAACACGACTCCTGTGCCCTTGAAGCTAGAATCCTTTACTAATAACCGGAGCTGCTCTCTGTCCCCTTTCCTCTGGAGGAAAAGCCATTTCTGTTAGCTTATGGGCATGCTCACATTTTGGGATCTGCCTTACTAATCTGCAATAGGAATTTGAAATTATGTTTATAAAACTAGTAGGCTTAGTTATAATATGGTAAATGCAGTATGATAACAATAATGCAGAAGAGTGAAACTCATAAGTAGTTGTGGAACTTAGATCGCCTCAGTCTATGAGCTATACCAAATACCCCGAGTTTAATGACCCAGGCTTCGGCTTAAGTTCTTTGCTCCTACTTTGAGTTTCTTTTGTGTTCTTCCATTCCCGCTAATCTGAGTATCAGTAGGAGAAATGTAATTTAACAAGTTCTGGTAGAGTATTTGGATTGAGGTCAGTAGACTTTGCTAAGTTTTACTGATTATTTTAGTAATGCCTCATTTAAGAAATAGTGTAATTATAAGAGTGAGGACACAGGCTTATTTGTACAGTGACGAAGACTTACGTTCTTACTCTTAGCGTGGAGGAACCTTGGACCATGCTAATATTACACCAGACCTTCCTTCCTAGGCTTGGAATAAAACGAAACAGGCAAGCGGACATCCTCACAACGTCAGGTGGTTTATTTTCTCACATAGGCTTCCTCTGGTTTCAATTCCTGTTTTATTCCTCCTTCAACTTTGAAAATGCATTGGGCGGGCTGCCTGTACCACAGTAGGAATCTAATGACCCTCTGAGATCATTTTGAAAAATTAGTTTTCCCTTAGCTGCTGGGGGGGAAAAATTATATTGCTAGCGTTCCAGAATAACCAGGCCTTTAAAAAAATGTAAGCTGAAGAGAGTGAATGGCTAAGCGTGGGGGTCAGTAGTCAGGTGGCATGGGTTCAGATCCCGCCTGTCACTTTCCTGGCTGGCTCATGGGGCACATTCCTTTACTGCTCCTCAGTTGATTTATCTGTAAGAACAAGCCAGTAATATAGGACCTACCCCTGTAATGTTCAGTGGCTGAGACAAGCTAATATAGGTAAATGGCTTAATACAGAGCCTAATATATAAGGTGTCATAGATATTAGCTGTTGCTTTTTATGAATTATATGTTTTCTAATGTAGGGTATATATTCAAGAAAACTGACCATTTTCTTCTATAGGGGGAAGCCTCTGACAGAGTGCTAATTTGCATTATTTTGTATAGTGAGGTTTATGAAGCCCTCTCCAACAGCTATTTTTCACTGGCTTCCCTGGTGTTACCATCGTTAAGTCAGTCCCTGTTTATCTGAGTTTGCTGCTTTGATTGTGCATTGAGCAGTGGCTCTATCAGAAACCAGCACCTGCAGCATGGAGCTTCTGCCTCTGTGGCTTTCGGTTAGCGTTCATATTTGAAACCAGCTCGATATTCTTGATCATAGACTATCTTAAGGAGTTAAACTGTACTACTTTTTATATCTTTGTTTTGACTGCTCTGTAGGCGATTTCCTTTGAGTACCCACCTTCCACCCCCCAGAAACTCTCAAAGTGAGCAAATTAAATAAGGCCACTTAAATATTATTTTTAAATGTCTGGGATTTTTATATGACATGCTAACAAACGTATACAAAAACTAGATTTAACTGTATAATTTTTGTTGTATTGTCAAGAACTTCCAAGTGTCAGAAACCTAATCAAATGAGTTTAAACAAAAAGAATAATCTATTGGGTCAGGTAACTGGGAATTTTCAGAAGTTACGTTTTAGATTTTTAGGCCTAACAGGATCCTGCAATTCAGATGTCCTCAGAAATGTCTCTGACTTGTGGCTGTTTAGCTCTGTTATAGGCAGGTCTGTGTGGTGGCTAAGATAGCCACCAGAGGCTTACGCCTTCTTTTTAGTACCTTTATGGTGATCCCAGAGAAACTAGCCCTCATTGCCCAGTTCCAGCAAAGTTCCAGGGATTAATGTTTGGCCTATTTGAGTCATGTGCCCATGCTTGACCCCATCATTTTGGTGAGAGAATTAGTGACTTGAGTGGCCCCTGGAATTCTGATTCAGCATCTTTAGTGGAATAAGAATGAAAAGGGATGATTTATGAATGAAAAAGAGAGCTTCTCTTACCAGAAGGTGGCAAAGCAATTGGTGTCCAGTCCACATCTCTCTATGGTACTCTCCCAGGTCATCTGAAGCCGATGGTGTGTGCCACACAGCCTCTGCTCTAAGTCAGGGCAGGTTATTCCACACACCCTCAGAATTTAGGAAGAACCAGTCTAGTAGCTTTTACGTGGTGTGGCAATAGATTGAAATTTAATTTTTGTCAATGTAGATAGATGGTTTCTAGCTAGAGTTTCAACTGAAAATTTTCTTTTTTTTTTCTTTCCCTCTTTCTTGAAAAGTACAAAAACTTTTCTATATGGTACCTAAAACCCAAGTAAGGGTGCTTTATTAAAAATGAAATTATCCCTTTGGAGGGTAGAGATGATTTAGGATTCAGATTTTCAATTAGAAAAGAGATTTAAATATTATGATTTTCCAAGTGAACATACTAAAACTAAAGCCACACTTTGGAGGCACAGTGCTTTCAACAGCTGATGCCTCGTAAAGGATATTGGACTATAACCTCATGTCCCAAAAGAATTGGCAGACTTAGTACAATTGCATGCTCAAGTCTGTAATGCTCACTTGCCATTGTGGACTTCTATTTTTAGAAAAGCCTTTAACTTGCTGTTTGTTCACTCAAGCTGTGTTTTGAGAAATATCTGTCATCACTTAGGTTCTAATTTTCTTGTGCAGTGATTCTTTAAGTTTGGATATTTCATTTAAAAAATGATTAAACTTCTTTAGTTACTGTAATAAATTGCTTCTTCAGACTCAACAGAAAGGTGATACTGTTGAGTCTTACACAGCTATTTACTAGATTAATACTTGGCCTACTCTATTTAATGGATGGGGATCAGTTCTTTCCCTTTCTTTGGTTTGAAGAAGAAATTTAAGGTATAAAAATAAACTTGGGAGATGTTATTCAGCTATAAAATGGAATGAAGTACTGTACATGCTGCAGTGTAGATGAACATTGAAAACACTATGCTAAGTGAAAGAAGCCAGACACAAAAGGCTACATCTTGTATGATCCCATTTATTCGAAATGTCCAGAATAGGCAAATCCATAGTGTAGAGACAGAAAGCAAATTAGTGATTGCCAGGAGTTAAGGGAAGGGAAATACGGGCTTTTTGGGGCAATGAAAATATTCTGGAATTTGATAGTGGTGATGGTTGCATAACATTGTGAATATACTAAATTGTACAACTTAAAGTGGTTTAAATGGTAAATTGTATGTGAATTTTATTTAAAAAAAAAAACTTGGGCAGTATAAACTCACTCTTCTAGTTGACAACTTAAGAGGATTTTTAAAAGTACTTGTCATATGAACAATGGCAATTAGAATTTCTTAGAGGGAATCTATGTAATTTTATTTAAGATAATGGTTTCATTTAACCAAAATTTTCTTCTAGAACTTCAGAACACTTAACCAGTATCTAAATGTCTTCCCATCAGTTTATTCATATTTTTGTAGTACACAGGATAATCCTGTATTTATATCACTCATAAGCAAATATGTATCATTGTAGTATTTAAAGGCCAAAAAAAATGCCATGTGATGTTTTAGGGTCAGTCAGTGTTACTAGAAACTGTCTTTTAGCTGTTCCAGTCCTGTCCTCTCCCCTCCATCCAGGACAAGAGGGAGAGGTGCACAGTGTGGCAGACTCCTCAGCTGTCTTCTGGTTGCTAAGCTGTAGGTTACTTTTAAATGAAATAAAAACGTGGTGTTGCATGGTTTCTTTCTTTAGGCTCGATTTTATTCTCCAGCCACCATATTTATTGATGAGATTGATTCCATTTGTAGTCGCAGAGGGACTTCTGAAGAGCACGAGGCAAGCAGGAGGGTGAAAGCCGAGCTGCTGGTTCAAATGGATGGTAGGCATGTGTATATGCATGAACTGACCAAGTGTGGTGCTAACCCACACAGCTTCCAGTGACTAGAGGGGCTGGCGGGTGGGTCCTGGAGTTTAACATCATCACACTGGGTGCACTGACAGTGGAGTCATGCCAGAAATAAGGGCTACCACAGGGCACCCTTTGGCATATACACTGATCTATTTTTAGCCATGCAGTTGAAATAAATGCAGATAAATTGGCCTTAGGGAGGGATATGTGTGCTTTTGAAAATGAGCTGGTCTTTTAAATCTATTTTGAGTCATATTTTTTGCATACTACAAGAACTCATTTTTCTTGGACCAAAGTTTACATATGTACTAGTTTTAGAAGTTTTAAGGAGGCTTCATGATTATACTACCTTGTAATGTGCTAAACATTTGATGATCATTAAGTAGTTGAGCTTTAGTGTATCTTAGTATTTTTCTCTCTCCTTACCCTTCTTTTAGGTGTTGGAGGTGCTTCTGAAAATGATGACCCTTCCAAAATGGTTATGGTTCTGGCAGCAACTAATTTTCCCTGGGATATTGATGAGGCTTTAAGACGACGTCTTGAAAAAAGAATCTATATTCCGTTACCATCAGGTATCTTCATGTGAATCTTGTCAGAAAGCTCACGTTAACACTTCAGTCATTTTTCTTAGAAATTTTAAATTTTGGTATTAACTTTCCTTAAAGAGACAAATGTGGGATGTTTTTCCTTATATTAACTGGCTTGGGTATATCGAGAGCCTGAAATCTTGATACTAGGAAATTTCAAATTCAGTGAGGAGCAGCTCTTAAGTTTTTAAGCAGATGAACTCTGAGACTTGTTAAACAACTTGTCACACAAAGTGGACTTGAGAAAAAGTAATACACTGTGTTTATGTTGAAAGCTTACATTTTAAAATTTGTTTCTACCATTAGCAAAAGGCAGGGAGGAGCTATTACGAATAAGTCTACGTGAGCTGGAACTGGCTGATGATGTTGACCTTGCACGTATAGCAGAAAACATGGAAGGTTACTCAGGTGCGGACATTACCAACGTATGCAGGTATGAATTATTTTGGAAGCATAGGTTTTCGTGGGTCTAAACTTGTATTATGAAGTTTTTATGTCACGTTAAGATAAAGAATAATGACACACTTTATAGTCTACAGTCAAAGACACAAGTTCTGGTATTTCGTGTTAGCAGGTGCTGGTAAGATACTGGGGTATCTTACATGTCAGTGGAGTCTGCAGTTCACTTGAAAACTACAAATTCAAGAAGCTAATGTTAGAACAATGGGTGTAAGGTAGAAAATCTGTAATTACGTGGATTAGAACAGTTAATGTTGGTGCAGTCGTTGAGTACACTGCCATGTCGGAAACGTAACTGAAATAGTTGATGTGGCATCCCTAGAGTAGTCTTGTTTTCAGTGAACGTGTTCTATAGGTGGTGGCAATAGCAGTAAAAGGGACAAGTCTCCCTCCGGGCCAGCCAAGTCATAAATTTTGTCCTAATCTAAGTATTAGCGCAGTCACTTTAGTAAGGTACTTGATTACATTAGCTTCCTCCTCTAAAGCAAGTCTGTCAGGTAGGGCTAGCGCACGGATTAGTGGTAGTGTGGACTGTATAAAGCAGCCACATGTTGCCATCCCTTTGCATAAATGGGGGCTGCTAAAAAGAATAAAATTGGTGAAAGGAAAGAGGTACTTAAATCAGAAGTTTCTCCTTAAGAAAAAAAAAGCACTAAGTACAGAGGGGAAAGAAGAAACCACCTAACTGGGTCAGTTAGCTTTTCCTACACATGTAGGGAATATATAACTTTCTAGCTGACAGACTTTCACACTCAATCAAAATATCACTTTGTTTTTAATTTAAAACCTAGGGATGCATCCTTGATGGCAATGAGAAGGCGTATTGAAGGTTTGACCCCAGAAGAAATCCGAAATCTTTCAAGAGAAGAAATGCACATGCCCACAACTATGGAGGACTTTGAAATAGCTTTAAAAAAGGTTTCTAAGTCAGTATCTGCTGCAGACATTGAAAGATATGAGAAATGGATATTAGAATTTGGATCATGCTAATTCTCACATGTAAACTGGGAGAAACCTGCCTTAAGTGTTTGAATAATTAAATGTAGTATTTCATTGCACCGAGTGCTATATTTTTTTAAACTTTCATAATGGTAAAATTTTTTTTTAAAAAACATGATTCTGAATAAAGGCAATTTTTTAAAGCTGCAAGCAATTTGTTTTACTTTAGCATTACCTGATTTCTTTCACTTACCACAAGTGTTGCAACACTTGTTACTTAGTTTAGAAACTCTGTAATATGCACTTCTAAGTACACTATCTCCCACTGTCTATGGCTGCTCTTCTAGGAAATAAGACTGACTCTAGCTCCTTGGGTGCCAGTGGAAAACTGAAAATTCCGGAACATTTTTACACAAGTAGCCAACTGAAACACGAACCACACCCAGTGTGCCTTCCCGCCTGCCTTGTGTTGTGGTAGCTTCCCTCCATTTCCTGGGAGGTCATTAAAGACCACTCATTTTACTATGCCTGTAAAAGGCAAAAAAGTACATCCATGTACAATGGTGCCCCACCTCATCCTGCCTGCATGAGGGGCTGCCCTACGGGCAGGTACACTTCTAAGCCTGCTCACTGTATTCTAACGAAGCTCACTGACTTACTCGCTCATGGATACTAAGCATAATTAACAATTGATAATGTAAATTAATAAATGAAATACAAGTAAATGCTATAATTTTAGGTAAGATATCTCTTTCTGATTACTTGTAAAAGAAAAAAAACCTTATTGTATCATCTAAACCATAGAAAACAGAGCCTCAAGAAGACTGAGTGCCTTGCCATGGTCCCAGTCTCACTGTTGAGAAAAGACAGGAAAGGAACCTGCTGGCTGTAGAGCCCATACCCGCCAACTAACTGCACAGCCTCCTACACTGTTCCTGCCAGAATTGACAAGCTCATGCTGCGTGGGTGAAATAAGGTCCTGGCATCACCTGGACTCAGAACTGGTGATTTCTAGCAACTTGGAGAGGAGGGACAGAAAGAAAAAGTGTGAGTAGCTGGGTGACTTTGGATCTAAATTATATGCTATTATTTAATCTATAATATGGAGATAGTACATTTCACAGGGCTGTTTTAATTCCTTATTAAAAACAGGCAAAATGAAACACCCCTCCTTCACTCTAGTACCTGCTATTCTTCCCCTATACATCCGTATCTATTTAGCCTAAATATAAAGTGGCTTTAAAAACCAGCCATAACTTTCTTGGACAATGTGTTTTAAATGATGGGTTGCAATAAAAAATTTATTAATAAAACAGAAAGTATCACATGGAGTAAAGGCTAAGTATTGTATGTACTACATCACACTGTAAAATATAAGTCAGTATAGTTAATGGTTAAGAAAAAAGTAAGACCAAACACTACTGTAGGATAAATAACACTAAGAACCATATAAGAAGAGGTACATTCTAATTCCATAATATTGATGCTTCTTTTAACTGACTTGGGTTTCAGCCAGTGTATGTGAAAACAGCTATTATATAGAAGTAATTCTCACTTGGGCAAAGTTTTTATACCGAAAGACTATTTTTTCCTCAAAAAAAGTTTATTTTAGAGAACATGTCACTACTGCTTTTAAATCCTGGTGCATTCAAGGCAAGTGGTCGTGGTACAGGATACAATGAAATCATGATACACTTCAGTGATTTTTTTTTTTAATCCCCACACGAGGATATTTTTTCCATTGCTTTTTTCAGAGAAAGTGGAGGGGGTG